AAGGCCTGGCGCAATATGGTTCATGGGGTCATGAAGAGTCGGACACGACTTAACGACTGAAGAACAACAAAGGAACTCAAGTGGAGCCTGAGGCATTTTTACAAATAAGCCATATATCAATTCACTGTTTACTATTTATTTAAAATATTTTTTGAAAAACTTAAGTCAGGGCAGTGATCTTGATAAATGTCAAGGATGGTGCTATGGAACTATGTTATGTACCTATCCACTGATTGGTAACAGATATCCCAGTAGTAGAACTGAAAGTCTCAGTCTCAAGTCAGACCTTCTGTATTTTAGAGTGACATAACTGGTCCAGTCAAATGCTTGATTAACCTTTTAAAATGCTCAGGTAAGCAGATTTTTCCAGTATTTTGCTGTACCAATAGAAGGGAATATATGTAGTTCAGGGTTGAACTGTGGAGTCCTTGGTGCTTTCTGAGCTTGGTTGTTTGGTTACAGACATTTCTTTACCCAACTTGGTAACATAATCAGTGTTAGTGAGTGTGGGGTTTGCTCCCTTTTTATATACAGTAGCTTGCCCTGCCAGTGTTGGTGAGGGGGTGTGGTTTCCTCCTTGGTAGTTCCTTGATTAGGGTATTTTCTGCTTGATTGTTTGTCTGGCATTAATTCCTGCTTATCTGGGTGTTGGTTGCTGGAGAGGATGTGTTCTAGTCTTTTTGTTTTCTTCTTAGCTTTTCTTAATGTCTCATTTGAATGGTGGGTAAATGTGGTTTATCTCTGTGGGTCTATTGATGGCTGATTTGTCTGAATGTCAACCTTCAGAAATACCCTAGTGTTTTTGGATTTGGCTACTGGGTCTTTTGGTTTACTTAAAATGCTTTGGAGGGCTTTAGTTGTTTTTTGTGCTACGGTGATACCATGAGGTTGTATTAATCTGTTGGTTGTTTCTGAGATGTTTTTTATATGTGGCAGTGTTATCCTTTTCATAGCTTGTGTTGGTTGTATTGTAGTGGGTTGAGTGGTCAGGCACTTTTTGATACAGTTGCATGGGTATCCATTTTGTTGTACCAGGCTTGTTCTAGAGGCCTTGGTAAGAACAACACTATGGAAGGATCCATTTTCAAATCAATAAACTTTCTTCTCTTAAGGACGAGAGGAAAGCACATTGACAAAGTATAGATGAGGCCTAAGTCAGTATACTGTTCTATTATCTAGGTAGACTTCAATTCCCAAATATCCAGGCCTTTGGCGAGGATGATTGATGTCCCTTTCTTCTTTTTGATTCCCCTCTGGGTTTGTTTGGGTTTTTTTGCCATCATTGTTTTGTCTTGTGTGTGTTTTGTGTATTGATTTCTGTTCTTACATGTTTTAACAATTGTAAACTGCCCAGAGTTGCTGGGAGTCGTACGTATACATGTAATAAATTATTTTTAGTAGGATTAGGATTATTTAAAAGCAGAACATTGCCCCATTATAATTGTGTTTATCATAAACATTTTTTTCCTTTTCCCAATGAACTTTGCAATTTCCTCTTTCATTCCTTGGGTAGAAGTTTACAAATTATCCACATAATTTCAGTGCACATTAAGATAAATTTTAATTAAATAACATATTGATAAATCCTCTTGAGTAGCTAATTTGCTAACAAGAAAGTTCTAATAAGTAATAATTTCACATCCCTATTTTCACATTTCATTTTTCACATCCCTATTCATTGAAGAATATCTGAAAACAGCGATGGTGCTGCCTGATTTTTCTATACAGGAAATAGAAAATTGCTTTATACAACTCTTTACAAAATAGCATCAATGATGTCATGAACTATGCTTTAAATATTGTAGTAAATCCTCATCTTTTACATGAAAAAGTCTATTTAAGTATCAGCCTAGATTTAAGTGTTTTAAATCTGTTCCTGAGGAAAATGTCTGATATATTCTTATGTTCTATAGGTAAAGTACTTAGAAATCTAAAACTGGAATTATACCATAGTTTTATATTATTTGTTCTCATTATAGGCAGATAGTCCAGAAGACATGCATAGCTGGATTAAAGCTATTTCTGGTGCAATAGTAGCTCAGCGGGGACCTGGAAGATCAGCAGCTTCCGTATGTTTTTAAGCAGCTTAAGTTTTGTCACTTCAGCAGTAATAAGTATTGTACATTTTCTTTTATCAGTATATCCATTCCTAGATCTGGGGTAACACATCTGCATGCATTGCAAATTGCATAGACTGTTACGTCTTTGAGTCAGTGTTAATCTTAGAAATATCCATATTTCCATCTTTCTGTATTATCTTAATATTTAGACATTAAAATATTCTGTCTTAATTTGAACCACAGTAAAATTGTGAAATTATATGATCATTTTCTGAATTGTGTGCTTGAGACATTCCTAAAGTACCTTGGTATACAATTCTTTTGAAACTTTTTAGTTTTCAGTCCTCTTAGCAGCAAGGTAATCTGTACTTAAAAAAAGATTCTAGGTTTCTTTTTTGGACAGCTGGCATTACAGTGACTAACATTGCCAAACTGTTCACTATATGACAAGTGTCAGTAACTCTGTAGTTGTTATATAGTTGTTATATTTTTCAGCAGAAAACAAGTTTATACTACTGAGCATTGTATTCAATATTATAATTTAGTGCTATGGTATTTATTTTTCTTAGCAATTCATATATAGCAAGGTTGCTTTTTTATTTCTGTCAATATACTAGAAGTTTATTCTAGCTTACATATACTGTAGCATGGTGATATTAAAGCAATTGTGTTTGTTACTCCAAATTTCACTTTTTTTTTCTTTTTTTTTTGCAAGAAGCATTAAAGCAATTTAATTAATTACCACTATCCTTTAGAAACATCTCTGGGAATGAATGCATTCTGGGTGATAAGAAGGTTATCAGGAATGGGTCTTCCTTTGTGTCTTTTGGTGCGTTTTAATCTTTGTGGTGGGATAACGCTACTAGTGGCTATCAGCAGTTCTTTCTTTCTCTGTCCTTTTCTCTCTTCCTCCCTTCCTCTTCTCAAGTTTAGGTTACTCTAATCTTAGCTTTGCACTGTGTTCCAGATGCGGCAGGCCAGAAGGCTGTCGAATCCTTGTATACAGAGGTATACATCAAGAACTGGTGAATGCAGCACGTATGTGGGCTCTCATGTAAACCTGCCATTTTAACCAAGGGCTGAAATCCAAAACATTTATTAACACTATATAAAATGATGAACTTAATCTTGTGGTTTCTTCTGTTGATCATTATCACCATGAAATTACTAACTTCTGAAATATTTTTCATTGGCCATTAAATTTGATCTTTCTAAATAAAATCTATTTTTCAGAATGGCAAACATTCACATGCTGCTGAAGTCTCTGTTCCTTTCATTGAGAAGAAAAGCTCTAGTAGCAAATATATGGAGACAGAAACTACATTTGGCCCAATTTGCATGAGAGTTCATATTTGAATTTAATCATTTTAAAACACAGCTAAGTAAAAGCCTGTCAGAACCTAATATTTAAATGTGTGCACATAAAGTATGCACACTAAGAAAAACATAATTGATCAACCTGCATGGTTTTTACAAAATATATGCATGGGATCATTAGTCAAGATGTAGGGAATGTCATAGCTTGCATTATTTTGATTAACTAACCTATAGTTAATCAAAATAATGAATATAGGTCTTTTACATTATAATCACAAAAATACAAATTTAAATATCTGAAATGCTATTCCAGCACGAGCCTTATTTGGGCTCGGTTTAAAAATGTTAGTGAAATGTTTATATAGTGTTCACTTTAAAAAAGAAGTTTTGTACTTGGAAATTATTTTACACAATCATTTGTGTTAAACATATTTATTTCTGATCATACTTGAAGTGAAGTACCAAGTCTCAGCTCCATCTTCCTTTTCTTAGATGATTCCTATAAATAGTTCTAGAGCTGTTCACAGTTTATTCTACTAGTCCAGATAATCTGCTGATCACTGTAGAAGTTTTTAGACCAGGCTAATTCTGAATCTAGTTAAGCAGCAGCATTCTCCAGCTAATCATTTGTGCAGTAGAAGTGGAAAATTTTATGTCAACCCTACCAACCAAAATTAGAGATATTTTGTTCATTGAAGTATTAATGCAGCTATGTATTTGTGTGTGTGTATGTGTGATGGAGAATAATATAAGTTAAAGTAGAAGCACATTCTGGAATGTTATCTTGAACTAGTATCTGCTTGTTGGTTTGATACAACTGTTGGAACACTGATTCCAAAATTTGGCAAGAAATGGATAACATTTCTGGACAGACTATGGTCATATGATCTTTCATTAGAAAGCTTCATACTGTGATGTAATTTTAGATGAAATTCCCATAGATAAATTGCTATGATGCAGGATCAGTTATAGTTGTTGCCAACTTTCAGCATATCCTGCTGTTTGATCTTGGTTGATGACTTGGAATATTATTCAATATCCTTCAGAACTCATTAGTTTCTCTCAATTTTTAAATTAATTGACAGTAGTTGCAGCCTAGCAAAGTCTAGACAATATTCTTTTAAGTTGTGTGCTTATTGTAGAAATGCTTCTACTATCCTTTGTAGTTTTCTTTAAGCACAGTATTAAAATATTGAACTCAATAATGGTATGGCCATATTTAATAAGTATGAATAATACTGAATATAATAAATAGTTTACTACCAAGGCAACAATTACCACTGTAGAGTACAGTATAGAAATATCCAAATTACATAACAGATTGTATTATATTCTGGAAATACTGACCAGCTGAATCATATCATACTATGGCTTAATAGGACAAATAGCTAAGGAATAAAACATAGAAGTCTATTGAACAAAAATATAAAGTACCTTAGCAGTGGAAGTTTAATTCACAAAAATTTTGAATAATTTCATTATACTTCTTTTTTAAACGTGAATACACTGTGCATGAACTTTTGGGATTAGTTTCTTGAAACTTCTTTAGGATTAGATTTCAAGAAGTATTAAATTGTATTTGTAATTCTCAAAATCCAGAGTTTCTTCAAAATGCTAGACTACCTCTGTTGTTATGCTCACAATGGGCATGTGGAAAGTAAGGGGGGAATCTATTCTGCTGGGAGATTGATAGCATTGGACATAACTGAGTGCAATTGTACTGTTAGAATTAAAAGATACCATGCTAGATTTAGGGATCTGTCTTGGCTGTTTCAGCTTGCTATTACACAATGCTGTATGCTCACAGTCTTAACATTGTGCTGCATCAGAGAAGCTTCTGCTATGTGCTCTTATGCCTTGCTTTGTTTTTCCCTTTTCATTATTTCAGTGATGTAAGTCTGAATTGAATAATATGTAGTAAATGACCAACTTAATCAGATCATTGCTTCTCCTTTCCAGGAGCATTCCAGCTGTTCAGAATCCAGCTGTCCTGCAAAAACAGCAGCAGCCACCTCACATTCCACAACCACTCACAGCCCCACTTTGGTCCAAACCCTTAACAGCAAACCCTTTGTCTTGGAGAAGCGAAGATTTCACGAATCTTTTACCACGGCCAAACCAGGGAGCTTCAAGATCCAGGCTGTCCCTTCAAGAGACTCAACTTCCAAAGTGACTCTCCGGGGCCTATTGGAACCTCAAAATAAAAATGGCACTCAGGAACAGGATTCTGATCCAGTGGATCTGGATGATGCAAGCCTTCCAGTTAGTGATGTGTAATAATGGGGAGGAGTCTGGAAAATTAAGAATTGTTTTGGTCCTTGAATTTCCTTTCTCAGACTTTTAGCCAAAGATGAAATGAAAGAACAAAAAATAGAATGTTGCTTATGTTGACCTTTGTGTGTGCATACATTCAAAATTTTGTATGTTTAATAGTCATATGCTGCCTTGTACTGTTTATCAGAACAGAGCTTTTGCTTTTTCTGTAGCCTGATGACTAATCTTTTTAATAGGAAGGGGCCAAAATACTTGATCTAAAAGTTATTTAAGCAAGGTACCAGCTGCTATTCATCATCAGTTTGGCAAAACTGAAAAAAATCTTAATGCTTTTTTTAAAGCCAACATACAGCTTAATTATATTGTAATTCAGACTATTGACAACCAAGTTGGCTTATTTTCTAAAAATACTGGCACAGTCTTTGGGGCATCTATATCTATGTATACAGTGTTCTCTGAATGTCAGGACTGCAGAGTGTAACAGTAGAGGCAATGTAATGCACTTTTCCTATGCAAAGAGTTTTTTCATGTTAAGAAAAACCATCATGCTGCAGTGTCTGAAATGAGGTATGTTTTCCTTACAATGAATACTTAGATTTGAGCAATCTATGTATTCAAGGCACAAAAACTGCTCATAACAAATATAATATTTGTTAAAGTACAATAAGTGAGAATCTCTATGAGAAAAGAAACCTTATAAGAAAGGCCCACAGATCATTTACGCTAACCTAAATGTGCTGACTTAATTGGAGCTTCTGATAAATGTTTTGTAAATCACTGCCCTTCCACAGAATCCAATTCCTTTAGAATTTCAGAAAATTGGTGCTGTGAAATTTACATGATCATAATACAGCTATTTTGAATATTAAGCCTATTTTTGATGCACTCCTAAAAGTAAATTGTAACTTTTGCACATTTGGATATTAATGGACCATCAAAATAAAGGTATTATGTAGATTTTTTAAAAATAGGGAACACGAACTATTAAATCTTTTAAAGGTTTAACTAAAATATTTTATAATGGGCTTTGCAGTAATTAAATGTTTAAAACTATTGTTCAAAATTTTGTTTTCTCTTGTGTGATCTCCCCTGCCCCCCTTTGGTAAGTTGTAACTGGTTCCCATTTTATATTTTGGTCAGTAAAAGACTGAACAAACTCTGATTCATGCTATTAATTGGTACTGAATTACTCAATCATGCAACTGTGGCCTGTAACTTCTGTGCACTATATTTATTAAAAGTGCCTGTGGGTTCTTTCTTCGTGATACGTTAAAAGTTTGGGGGTTAGATGAATTTATTTTTGTGGTTTTGAGCCTTGTATGATACAGTTCAGCATGCGTATAGGGTGAAATGCTAGTACAATTTCCAGCATACTGATAGCGGTGAGCTGTGCATGATGATTTTTAAACTGGATATTTGTTCAGTTACAAATAATAATAATAATAATAATAATAATAATAGGTTTAAGAAGCTGATGCTGGTTAATTGAATAAAATGAGAATGCACTATTTTATAGTTAGGTAGTAAAAATATCTGTTTAATCAACAAAAGGCCCAAAGTTTCACATGCTGCTGCTTTATCCAATTCATATTTTCTATTATATAATATTTTGTGTCTGTTATGCTTGAGAAATTATAGTAAGGTAAGAATGAACAAAGATATTTAAGCAAAAAAATCCTCCACTGTTCCAGTGAAATAGGCATTCATTTTAATTATGTCTTAGTGGAGCAAAATTCAAAATTCTGAAATTAGTTGAATGGGATCTTCCCTTAATTTATGAGCAGCAGTGTACTGCTCCCTTCAAATTCTCACTTTAGTGACAAGATAGAAAGGGGATGACTCTACAACCCCTCGCATTTCAGTGAGAGAACTATAGATAGCTTTTCAGTCAGCTGATTTGCCCCGGCTTGAAAATTTCATTGGCAGAAAACAGTAATTCAGAGCTATATATATTTGTCTGTCTGTCTGTCTGTTTTTACAGGCAATGGCACTATATGGATTGACTAGACCGTACATATTGTCCCAGCTTTTAAAAAATACTGTAAGTTTAAAAAGTATTTGTTACCTGATTGCTTAAATTCTAATAGCAGTGGGAGCAAGGAGTCTTTATTTTATGCTATTTGAGAACTTCAGTTAGACCAGTGGTTTTTAAACTGGGGATAATTTCCCCCAAAGGGCTAATTTAGGCATATCTTGAGGATAATGGAGCAATTTGTAATTGCATGTTTGTGAGTCAAGGATCCAGTTTGGGACTGACGCTTCCAAGATGCTTGTGTAAAACAACAGTCTGGGTTTTTTTTGTTTTTTTTGTTGTTTTTTTGTGCGGGTAATGGCATTATTTGGGACTGGGAAAATTGGGTTAAACAGTTTAAGAACCACTGAGTTAGACAGTGACCAGCACGTACCTGCTTTCTGTGTGCTGTATGTATAAAAGTGGGCATACAAAGTAATATTAGTAGTCCAATTATGTGCTTATTTCCATGTATATCCTATTTTCAATACACCTAAATCTTTTACAACAGTGTTCCTCAACCTTGGCAATGCTAAGATATGTGGACTTCAACTCCCAGAATTCCCCAGCCAGCTATGCCAGCTGGGGAATTCTGGGAGTTGAAGTCCACATAACGTTGCTAAGGTTGAGGAGCACTGTTCTACAATCATGAGCTGTATTGATCTGCATCTTGAAACATGACACTTTCATCTGCAGTTCATCTAGTTCATGCTAATATGAAGTGTTTGACTTATGGCCCTTTTAATTGCCATTCACTAAATGTTCTCTAGCTTCCAAATTAATTTCCCCAGATATAACTTCCCCACAAAATCTTGATCTAAGGGTTTGTCTACAAAGCAGTTTGTCATATGACCTTTATATTTACAAGAAGAATCTCATTTGGAACTTGGACAAGGGAGCTGTCCTGTTTTCCCACCCCTTTCTGTTTTTGCACGTAAACTCATACATTGATAGGCACAAGTATTTTATATCACTGATGCAGAATGAATCAGTCACTTTCCAGATTTTTCATTAAGTTTGTCTCACGTTGGGAATTTTCACTGTTGTCCCCACTTAGCTACAATTCTGTTTGCCAGCAAATAAACATTTTGGATCACGGAGTCCAGCTACTGTAACTGTGGAAATTTGCTACAGAGTTCCTTTCAAGAATACATTTGTTCTACTGTTAAGCATACTGACTGCACTTATGGAAAGTTACATGGATCAAATCTGTTGATATTAAAAACTGAAATAAAAAAATGGACAAGGCCTAAAAAAAAAAAAGTAGAATGCCCAATTTCTATGATGTTATTTCAGATCACTCCAATATAGCAGTACCTTTATATTTCTCAATTATAAGCTAAATATTTACAAGCAGTGTTTGTAAATTACATTTTATTTGCCTTCTCAGTTACATGTGAACTAAGATAAATGTTCTATTCAGTCTAATTCAGGAGCATAAAATTTTAACTTGTAACAGATTTAGCAAGTAGGTGTGTGAGACCTTATTTTTCAGAATATGTATTTTGTGGGAGAAACTGAGTTGGATTGTTGTATTGCCATACCTTGATGTTGTGCTAGATTTACTGGTTCTGGTACAATTTCCACATTGCATGTTCATTTTATTCTTTGAGTATTACTGGTTTTCAATAATGAATTGTAATCACAGCAGCACTCTTATGGATTCTTTTAAAATCAAACTGCTTAGATAGTTCAATAGTGTGGGAAATGCTTGTGGTTGGCAAATTGTCAGGGCTTTTTATTTATCAGTACTTTTTATATAAAATTGAAGAAAATTGTTAACTTATTTGGAACCTGTGGTGTTTTCTGTAAATGTCACACTTGTTAATAAATTGACATAAATAATGAACTATAATATTCCTATCAGACTACATTTAGTGTACTTCAAAAGATAAATTGTTCAGTGAATGAAATTATTTTTGCATACTATTTTTTGTTCTTCCCTTCAGATTCCCCAGAACCTTAAAGTGAATTTTTAAAAATTAATGATCAAAAGCAAACCTTCAGAAGCTTTGCTTCATCATTACAACTAGCCTTAATACCACCAGTATTTTAAATAGATAAAATTCCTCAGTGGTTAAAACTAGGGTATCAAAAGGTATTGCTGAAGACTTCTTGGAATGATCTGTTGTCAGACTACATTATTAAATATGCTAGTTTGTGCACATGTGTTTTCATATGTGCAGTCCTCATATGTGACAAGTTAGCCTTGAATGATACTGAAGAATGAGGGTTAAGAAACATTGAAGATTACATACCTCTGCTTAACCAAGGAATAACTGACTACCCCCCAATATATATTTAAAAGTTCAGATTAAAATATGTATTCAAAAATGTTAAATTGCATACATTTGAAATATCCTGAAGAAGCTCCAAAATTAGAAAATGGAGGGAGAACCCTTTTTAGCTTTTTAACAGTACAGAAAAATTATCAGGAAGGAAACTGGAAGGACGTTCCCAGCCACAGTAAAGCTGGTGATTCTAGCTGGCTAAAAATCCTATTGGGGATTCCAGATGCATTTTAATGTGCTGTTGATCTAAAAGTTGTAGAATTATTTGGAAGGAGGCCTGTTTTTAATACTTAAGATCAGAGAAGAGGGAACATCTGGCCCAATTTAGTAACTGAACTAGAACTTCTGGAAGTTCTGATCATTGTGGTCAATTGTCCTACTACCAGGAATTATGATTCAATAATACTTGCTGTGCTATAGCTACTTCACTCCTGCCTTAGTGCTGGAGGTATGACCAAAACAGCTTTTTTTCTTGAGATATTTTCAAAGTACTGATGCAGTTTACATCCCATTCTAACAGCAGCCCATGATGGACCCATAAGAAGCTCATCAAAAGTGATACTGATTTTTCCTTATGTATTTCTTACCATTATTTATATCCTGCCTTGTAGGATAAAAGTACTCCCAAAAAGTTTACAAGTAATAAGTGTAACAAAATACAGTTAAAAGCAAATAACAGACTGCTACTATCTTCATAGGATAGTTGGTGTTAATAGCCTTATGGGGCAATAAAAAGAATCCAAGCTGAGATTTCTGGGATATTCTTTGCCTGCCTTCCTCAGTAGTATTTCCTATATTTCCAATAGTATTTCCTATTCCTGACAGAATAGGAAAAATGTTGCATCAGTAGCTTGCTTGTAACGGTGGAATAGAACCAGCCAATTTATTTATGAAGGACGACTCTCACTAGGTGTTCCAAGTATTCAAACTTATTTTTCTGAGTACAAAATCTATTTGCAACAGAATGTATCTTTACTTACCATTTGAAAAGGCAGTCTTGAATGTCAGTGTCCTAACTTTTCCTTAGCTAAGTAGCAAGCTGGTTGTGTTCCAGCAATCTTTTTTTGTGTGATACTGCAAATGTATTAGCAGCAGTATAGGAAGGTATTCTGAGGACAAAGAGATTGCTTTTCGGTGTCCCAGAAATTTGAGACTTCCCAGAAAGTCTGTGTTTAGGATAGGATATGCTGATTTCATTGGAAGTGCATGTCTCAGATATGACATACAGCAACTCCTTTCTGGAAAGCCCAGACCATTTTAGCCAACAAATGTAAACATTCTGGAAAAGTAACATTTTGATCAACTAATACAAGTATTTTTTGCCGCCTTACAACTATTTTTTCATGTAAGAGTGTTTGCAAACTGAAATATAAATTGTGTAGATTGTATAAGTATAATTATATGGAGAGCCTCTGGAATGGGGAGCAAATTTTGTATGAGAATGTGGGGAAAGGTCAGTAGGGGCTGTGTCTGTTGCCATCACTGTATCTCACCTTCAGAGCCAAAGAGTTGTTTAATCGCTGCGGTAGTAGGCCAACTATTTTAATTCCCAAACATAAACATGTCATTTTTAAAAACGGTATTTGTGCATTTGTTGGGCCAGTTTGCACGGGGTTTAAGATAAGCTATACGTCCGCAAGGGCCACAAGTACATGGGTTAACCATCTTGATGGAATATTCTCCGAGATCAGCCAAGGCCCGGGGGGAATATTGCATAATACAGTACCTGGTGGCAGATTTAATGAAGTCCGAGAACGAAGCATTAGAAGGAAACTTTGGAGGAACTTCGAACCTTGGACCTGGATTTTTAAAATGCCACAACAGCGTGGTGTGTGTATATGTGTGTGTGTGTGTGTGTGTGTGTTTTAAACGACATATAGGATGCATTGTACAGGCAACAGGCTGAATCGGAGGTAAGTATGGAATTCTTAGCTGGCTGATAGGATCATTTGCTAATAGAAAGTGGTACAGTACAGGGATCAACGGAACGTTCATATGTCGACCGCTCCGCTAAATATGGAAAATTACAGAAAACATGAAAAAAAAAATCTTATGGCAAGTACGTTGAGCTGATATAAATCATGGAGCCAGGCCTTCCAGTGTGAACAAAAATACTTAAAAAGTAGCGAAAGAAAAAAAAAACCCGCTCCGTGATCTTGCAGCAGTCTGCACTCCCACTTGGCGCGGCAGCAGGTTTCCTTCCCTTCTCCGGGGCTTGTATAACGGCGCCAAGTCCCCTCCCAGGCGGCTCCGCAAGTCGGCGGCGTTTTTTGCAGGCGTGCAACAATCCCTCTGGC